GGCATTCCCTCCTGACTTTTCACCTGCATCTATGGCAAGCATCCTCAGCAGTAGTGAGGTCTGTTGGAACTAGGAAAAAGGGTTTATATATCTGTGGAATGACCAGGGTGAGACAAAGAATTCTTGTCTGTTGGAGCTACGTGTGAATGTGTCAACTGACCACCTTGATTAGCATTTGATGGCCTGGCAGTGTTTGGGGCACTCTAAGAACCATATCAGACTACACAGAAAAGTCATTGAAATCCACAAGCATGTGGACAATTTCAACAGAAAGGAGGAAACCATGAAAATGAATAAAATCTGGCTACCAGTATTAAAAAACTCTAAAATTACAACAGCAAAACAACAGAGAGGAAACAATCAGGTACATCTAATCACCTCTCAACAAAAGATTGCCCCAGGCACTGCCAGGCCATCAAATGCTAATCAAGGTGGTCAGTTGAAACATTCACACCTAGCCCCAGTCCTTTGTCTCACCCTGGTCCTTCCACAGATATATAAACCCTTTTTCCTAGTTCCAACAGACCTCACTACCTCTGAGGATGCTTGCCATAGATGCAGGCGAAACGTCAGGAGATAATGCCTCTAGAACATGACCATATAGCCTGAAAAAACCTACAACAACCCAATCATGTACATGATTCCAAACCCATTCAGGTCTGCTTCATTCATGCATTCAACTTTGATGTATGTTCAATATATTATAAAAGATGTTATACAGCTAACCAATTCTTCCCCTTTCCTGGAAACGTGTGGATTTATGCCCATGGTACTGTGCAGAAAGAAAGGTTGACATATTGTGAGTCCACCTTTTAAGCAGATTTCACAAATGCAAAGAAATTGGTGAGGTAACTGGATGATAATTTCTGACTGAAGCGCCTGGACTTACGTGAGTCCCATTGCTTCTGATATAATAATAATCTTCTCTCCAGTAAATAGTACCTTGGGAAGGTGAAGTGGTGATTTCATGCTTTTTAAACAAAGTGGTCACCAATTAGGCAAGGAAAGGCAGCAAGTCCTCTCCATCCTTTCAGTGCAAGAAAAAAGCAGCCCCTGCTATCAACCACTCAGGTCTCCTAATTTTGGTTTCCGGGAGATGAAATCTTTGCTTCCACCACCATTACCTGTACAACCTTTCTGAGCTTTTCTTCTGTCTAAAATCATTCCTCTCTCACAGAATGTGATAGAATGATATTTTTTAAAAGAGACAACCAGAGATAGGTTAGCAAATGCCAGGACCTCAGTTGAAACAGTGGTAAATAGTGGGCCCAACATTTATCGTACTGTGTTTGCATTAGCCAAGCTAGCCAGATCTGGGAGGGGTTCAGAACCCTAAATTTGGAAGCCCACAATTATCCCATCCTGGCCTTAAATGGTATATCATTCATCTCCCATTCTAACACATGTGCTCAGGTGTTGAGAAAAGTTAATATGCAGTTGACACATATGCAGGATCAGGTCCAAGGAACTATGTCTCCTTTCTTATGCTGCAAGACAAAATAACTTTCAAAATGAGAATTGTTCTGGTATGGCTGTACCAGGAGCTCCAAACTTATTTGCTTTGTATTAAATGTTTGCTTGCAGCCCTGGGTTTCAGGGACTCTGCAGATAGGTGGCTTCCTTCGGTTGCATTCATAGGGCAAGTCACCTGTCCATCATCGTTAAGTTTTGGTTCTGCCCCTTGCAATTGGGAAGGGAAGGGAGCCATTTTTAGTTAGTCTCAGCAAGGAAAGCTAATGTACAGGACGTGTGCAAGCTTCCCCTGTACAAAAGCTTCAACCCTTAAGATCTTCCGGGGGAGAACAGTCTTAAGAGTCTCCAAAGATTTCCAGGGAAACAGCCCTAAAGACCAAAGAACTCCAGCTAGAGAACATCTAAGCCTTTACTGGTAGGTCCACTCGGCGTTTGAGAAGCAGTTCGACCCGGTAGTGGAGCCCACATCAGTAAGTGTTAGATTACAGTCAGCCTAGGAGAAGTTAAAAGGGGGATTTTCCATTTAAAGTAAAGAAGAAGTTATTGAAAACAGTTGCCTGTCCTTTGTGGGCAAGTTTAGGAAGCTACCAGTTGCATAAAGGCCTGGAATCATTTGTTTATCTTTCTGAAGACAAGAGAAGTTTCTGTTTGATTGTTCATTAATAAAAGACTTTGTTATACTTCACACAAGCCATCTAAAGATCATTTGTGGTGGAAAACCTCTGAGAACTTCTCCTTGAGCCCCCTGGCTTCCTGCTGGGCAAAGGTTGCACGTCCTGTTCTAAAGACAATTCTTTACAGGCCCAGCATGGGAGAGAACAAGAAGCATTCAAAAACACTACATAATACAACATGAGAGGGATAACTGCATGGAGCCAGGTTTTTTGGACTTCAACTCCTAGCAGCCCAAGTTGACTTGACCAACCATCAGAAATTCTGGAATCTAAAGTCCAAATCATCTGGAGAACCAGCATTTGGGAACCAGTGATCTACCTTGTCAATGTTCTTAAAGGCTTAGGTGTACATAAAGTCAACCCTCGAATTCCATGCAACATATGGATGATATTGTGCTGTTGACTTGTAAAGAATAAATGGCACATAATTGTAGTTGGCAGATTTGTTTTGCCCCCTAAAATGAAAGCCAAGAGTTTAGCTTATTGGCTTACACAATCCTGTCTTGTCATATGAATGGCCCTCTGTCATGTCCTCTCTTTGGATGTGTATATCTTTAGGCACCCAAGATTAATGTTGGAGTGATGAGGTAAAGACATGAACACAACATAGTTCTTCTTGCGTAAGGAGTTAGGAAAATTGGCCAAGGATGCTATTGTCAGAAGCTCAAGAGAAAACCAGGCCTTCTCGCAAATCGTTTTAGGCCATGGCAGAGAGTTAAATGTGTTTGTTGGAGAATTTGAAGGCTAAATACAATTAGGAGCCTCAGATCCCCCATCTATCTTCAGTTAAACAGAGTTTATGTCAATTAGACAAAGTTTAGTTTGGTAACATTGTTGCTGTTGTGTATGTACACACATGGAATAAATCGACATTGACAGAGTTGGCTATCCAGAAGAGTGCTTTGAGCCACGAGCACTTACAACTCTAGATTTGAATTCATGCACATCTAGCCAAGCTTCCGTCCAAGTTTATTTGATGCTTAGATCATAGGTCTTTCACATATAAGGCAAACAAATAAATACATCTAGCCGTCTTAGTGCTGAAATGTAGTTGCCACTTTTCTTTTTTCTAAACAGATCCATATCTTTCATATTGATATGCATGCCAATGCTTAGAATAGGTGTACATATTGGGTTTGACCAGTGCAGTTGGATAAGAACTTTACTAGATTGGTTGTCAATAACATCTTTCTAAAATTCAAAACTTCTTTGTAAACAAGATGGAAAGAATTTTAATCTGGAGCATTCTGGGAAATGATCTATAACTGCTCATACTGCTATCAAAAAAAATTGTCTGCCACCCATCCCTCTCTATTTTGGAATTTGCCATGACACAAGTTTAAAGTTTGCACTGTTGGGGGAGGATTCTCCCCCCCCCCCCCCCCACTTATCCAGTTCCTAGTTGGAAAAAATGAATTCTCCACATTTGGGAACCTTCCACCAGGAAAATGATCTAATGGATAAGTCTGTCTGTACTGGTATTTGAGTCTCCCAAAGAACCAGTTCAAATTAAATATCTATTCTAGTTAAGTCCGTTGTTATTCATTCGTTCAGTCACTTCCGACTTCGTGACCTCATGAACCAGCCCACACCAAAGTTTCCTGTTGACCATCACCACCCCCAGCTCCTTCAAGGTCAAGCCAGCCACTTCAAGGATACCATCTATCCATCTTGCCCTTGGTCGGCCCCCCTTCCTTTTTCCTTCAATTTTCCCCAGCATAATTGTTTTCTCCAGGCTTTCCTATCTTCTCATTATATGTCCAAAAGTTAAGTCAGTATTGCAGGCCAATAGCAAATCTGGTCTACTGCTATCAGTGGCCTAAATGCAATTCCATAGAGAAAAGGTAGCCGAACCTTACATATAATCAGCTAGCACAGAAAGCAGGAGGATAACATGAATAAGAACTTCTACAAGAGGTCTCTATAAGATCTGAGATTTTGCAGAAACTCCCAAATGGATTTTTAAAAAATCTGATAGCTTTTGGTCATTACAAGACCAGAAGTTAATCTAATCTTGGGCACTATATGAATGCAAATGCAGCAGATACAGCATGGCGAAATTAAACCACAAACTGCAACTTTTTGAGTTTTAAAGAAGACATCCTCAGAATATCATTATCTGGAGAATTCTAAGCTTATAATGAAGTGCATGCTTAATTGAGATTCATGAGAATAACCATTTCCCCAAATCATTTTTGAAGAGGAGGACCGAACTTTCTTACAATTTGTCATGTTCGGAATACATTTTCCTCGAAGGAGTATAAGCCCTGGACTGTTTCCCTGGAGGGTGTTTTTTTTTATAAAGACCCATTTTTAAAAGTAGCTTAGGGACTAGCCTGACTTACAGCAAGGAAAGGGAGTATTGCAGTGGATTTACCTCGCAGGAAAGTACGGCACATACCGTGGCGTCTAAATCACTCTTTAATAAACCAAATCTGTAAGTTATAAGTGAAAGCCACAAGTTAGAACTCCTATGGATTATGGAGTCCACCTCATGGGTTTACGGGATCTTGAGAAACCCGAGGTATTGTGTGCTTTTGCCTAGTGACAGGAGAAGGAGTTTTAATGCATCATAGGCTTTTAGCACACATAGCAAAGAATATTATATAGAGACATGCACAAACTATAGGATGAATTTCATGCCCAAATCTATATTTCTTTATCAGAGAAGTAAATGTGCTGCCCATTTTGCTTGCTCATGCATGGCTTGATTTATACAGTATCACAATGACAACTTGCATGATTGTGGGAGTCGGTGCATACAAAGCATCACATAACTTGCACAATGCCCCCAATACAATCAGTTTAGAGAATACAACTGCTAATTATTTTAAGTGCAGAATTAACTGATACCTTCTGTGATGCTTGGATGGCTTTTCCTTTCATGGATCAGCAGAGGCATATCTGCAAAAATATGAGACGGATCTTATAAACCGAACAAAGTGCTTACCTTCCATTGCATGTTCTACATGTACTGCAGAGGGATGTAGACATAACATCTCTCTGATGTGAAGAGACATTGTCACAATAAATGACATTTTTTTTATTTACGACATTTATATGCCACCCTTCTCACCCCGAAGGGGACTCAGAGCAGCTTATAAGATATATATATATATATATATATATATATATATATATATATACACACACACACACACACACACACACACATATACACACACACAATATATTGTAATATTAATAGTAATATCATATGTAATATAAAATATATAATTATAATATTACATTACATTATTATTATTATTAACATTAGTATTATATTGTATTACATTATATATACACACACACACACACACACACACATACATGCACACAATATTATATTATATTATATTATCATTAGTAAAGCACAGGAGACAAGATGGAACTGGAGACAAGATGGAACTGTCTTCAACTGCCTCTTTCTTCACTCTGGCCAGAGCAGGAGTTGGTGCCGGGGGGGGGGGTTCCCAACTTATGATATAGGGAAGAGACAAGATGGAACTGTCGTCTGCCTCCCTCTCTACACTCTGTATATAAACATAACTATAAATATAACTCTGTATCCAAGGAACCAATATCCTCAGTTTCGTTTACCTAGTCCTCCAGCATGGCTTTATGGAAGTTGGCAATAGAGTTGACCTGGAGGACCTAGCAATACTTAAAGAAGTGTCCTATCTAGGCATTTCCTAGGTCCTTTGTTCAATAGCTTGTGTACCAGTTGTGCCTGTTCCTTGGGAAGTCAGACATAGCCATGGTGGTCTATGCTCTGGTTACATCCCAAATAGATTACTGCAACATGCTCTACATGGGGTTTACCAAGTGGTCAAATGGGCAACGGCCAGAGTGCTCACTGGAGTGGCATACAGGGAGCACACAACCCCCCTGTCCAAACTTTTCTTCCCCTGTGAACCATCTTGGAGATTAAGTTTGTCCGGGGAGGTCCTGCTCCTAGTCCTGCCTCCTTCGCAGGTGCAACTGCTGGGAAAGAGAGACAAGGCCTTCTCAGTAGTGGCCCCTCAGCTATGGAATTCCCTCCACAATGATGTTAAATCAGCCCCTTTCTTCCTGATCTTCAGAGAGAGAGAGAGTGAAAACGTGGCACTGGAATCAAGCCTTCAGAGAAGATTTATAGTGCAATAGACGGATTGGAATTATGTGCAATGACTACCGGATTGGAAAAGGGGAGAAAGGTGGGGTATAAATAAAGATAATGATGAGGATGAGGATGATGATATGAGGATTTAAAGATTGACATCCAAAGACTCTGGCACAAGCCAGTAAAGGTGGTCCCAGTGGTGATCAGCACACTGGGTGCAGTGCCTAAAGACCTTGGCCTGCACTTAAATACAATTGATGCTGACAAAATTACCATCTGCCAGCTGCAAAAGGCCACCCTGCTGGGACCTGCATGCATTATTCGCCGATGCATCATACAGTCCTAGACATTTGGGAAATGTCCAATGTGTGATCAAATATAAAAGCCAGCATTGTGATGTTGTTTGCTGTGTACTAATTTTGTTGTGTATCAAATAATAATAAGAAGAGGAGGAAGAGGAAGAAGAGGAGGAGGAAGTCGTATGGCTTATGATTTTGTGATATGAAATTCATCATTTATATCTTGTTTGCTGTGTCATACTGTGTTTTTGTGTCAGAATAATAATAATAATAATAATAATAATAATATGTTTATTATTATTTTACTGACACAAAAGCACAGTATGTCACAGCAAACGAGATCTATATGCTGGATTTTGTATCACAAAATCGCAAGTTGAACACTAGACGCTTGGGAAGTGTTCGACTTGTGTGTTTGTGATCCGAAATCCAGCATATAGATCTCATTTGCTGTGACATACTGTGCTTTTGTGTCAGTATAATAATAATAATAAACACAGAACAGACATTAAGCATAAGACACAAGTGTAAAACTCATTCTGAGAACTGACTGGGTAGTTAGGCATAAGGGTTTCCTATATGCCTCCACCATACACAGGCTTCTTTAGAGCTTTCACCATATTCCTCAGTTTCCCATTGTGGAGATGGCTAGAAAACCTACCAGGTGTGTATATAAAGGACTTGTTCCTCTCTCTTTCCTCCTCCTCCAAGCTAGTGAGTGCAGCCTCTACTGTGCTTCTTATCTTTCCTATATTAGCCAGGACTTTGGTGCTTCATGCACATATTTTTGAACGTAGCTTTAAGTGTAATTTAAAAGGGGTTTAGCTATTCCTATTTGCTTTACTTTGCTGAAATTTGTATCAAAGAAACCCAAGAGATTCAGCAGTTCCACTTGTGAACTCTGCTAAAGGAGGCTGATTCTTAATTGAACTGGTTTTCCCCAGAAAAGGGGCTAACACTCTGGGAATCTACTTTTAAGTCAAGTCCAAAGGTAAATCTGGTTCCAGCTCATTGAAGTTCCTGGAATAAGAAATTTCTTACCCTCTTGGTACATTTCAGCAGATGCATTCCAATGCAAGCCTTGAGGATGACTTGTTCATGTCCCGCCTGAGTCTTGTCCCACCTGACTGTGCCTGGAACTTATATCCACACAAAATTGGGTTTGATTACGCTGAATTTCTGGATTCACATCCGACAAATTTCTCCCTCTTGGCTTCAGGCATAACTTTTGTGTGTGGAGCAGAAGAACCTTGTCCTTTGCTCCACGTTGCAAAAAAGCCTTGGGCAAGCCCTGATCAAATGAACTTTATGAGATCCGAAGATGTTTAGAACGAAAAACAAAATTATTACTAGAATACAGTACCCACTGCAGTGTTCATCTTAAGAATGTATGGGGAGGATTTCTGTGTGAGATGTGGAGAATTGTGTGGTGTCGAATCAGCAAAACAATTGGGTCATCTCAATGAAGCTTTTGAATACTTTTTTTGCCAGAAGAAAATCACAGCATCTGAATATTTGAGTGAAATTTGATGGCAACTCGAGGGTTTCTTTCTTTCTCACTGAGCTTCATTTTAGTCATCTGAAACTAAACTAAAAAGCATTTCACACAAATATTTCTTCTTTTGGGTAAAGGCGATGGGTGTCCGCCCACAGACATGAAATTAGTCATGTATGGAAGAAAAATGCAGGAAGGAGATGGTAGAACTGCTTCACCCATCAATATGTATAAAGATATACATTGCATTGGCTGACCAGATATATATGTAAGGAAGTTAGGAATCCATAGTTGCAAACATTGAGATGGCAGGATGTATGTAAAGAGCTTTCTTCATGATACTGGAATATGTGATACTCTCAGTATGGCTCATGTTATTGAATGTCTGTTTTGGCATGGATGAACAGAGGAAATGCTAGGATTATGAAGAAAAATGTAACCTTAAAGGGCTTGCAAGTTTCTTCAAGTTTTGGAGAACTGTTTGATGTAATAAGGAGAGTGACTATCCTGCCGTGTTTTAGCTTAAACCCTAGACAGGATTTGCAACACCAGACAGGTTTTTAGAGTCTCTTGTGATAATGTCCATTGTTCCTTAACATTACTGGTTCCCAAGCTTTTTTTGACCAGGGACCACTTGACAATGGACCACTTTGACCAGGGACCACTCTCCCACATTAGTACCAAAAGGGTTACGAATCAGTTTTTGGTCAACTTTAGATTTAAACCCCTCCTCCCAGCACCAACTGCCACTCTGGGCCAGAGTGATGAGAGAGGGGGCCAGGGGATAGTTCTATCTTGTCTCCTAATATGTCATCTGTTGGGGACCCCTCCCAACAGCACCAACTGTCGCTCTGGGCCAGAATGAAGGGGGGGGGGCAGGGGACAGTTCCATCTTGTCTCCTGCATATGTCATGAGTTGGGGACCCCTCGCCCCAGCACCAACTGCTGAAGAGAGAGAGGGCCAGGGGACAGTTCCATCTTGTCTCCTGCATATGTCATCAGTTGGGGACCCCTCCCCCCAGCACCAACTGCTGCTCTGGGCCAGAGTGAAGAGAGAGGGGGCCAGGGGACAGTTCCATTTTGTCTCCTGCATATGTCATCAGTTGGGGACCCCTCCCCCCAGCACCAACTGCTGCTCTGGCCAGAGTGAAGAGAGAGGGGGCCAGGGGACAGTTCCATCTTGTCTCCTGCATATGTCATCAGTTGGCAACCCCTCCCCACCAGCACCAACTGCTGCTCTGGGCCAGAGTGAAGAGAGAGGGGGCCAGGGGACAGTTCCATCTTGTCTCCTGCATATGTCATCAGTTGGGGACCCCTCCCCCAGCACCAACTGCTGCTCTGGGCCAGAGTGAAGAGAGAGGGGGCCAGGGGACAGTTCCATCTCATCTCCTGCATATGTCATCAGTTGGGGACTCCTTCCCCCAGCAACAATTGCTGCTCTGGGACAGTTCCACCTTGTCTCCTGTGCTTTGCTAATAATATAATATAGTAATGTATAATGTAATATATTGTACAGACATAGTATTTATAATAGTACAATGTAATGCAATATAATGCTACTAATAATA